AAAAAAAAAAACAAACAAACAAACAAACAGTTTTCCCTAGAAAATGCTAAAAATCTGCAAAAATAGTCTGAAAATGTAATTTTAGCACTTTCCTTCATATCTGGGTGAATTGGTGACCTGTACAGGAGAGTAGGAAGTTCGGTCTGTATCCAGGAGAGTTGGCATAGATGCAATAATGTGTAATCAGTAGTCAACAGATTAAGATTGTTACTCATGCATGAATTGTGAACTGATCCACAGTTTAATGATGAGAAGAGGCTCATGACCCATCATCAGGCCCTTCAGGATATTATCGAGGACCAGGTATGTGATTAATTTAATTTAAATAGTTATTAAAAGTATTTAATAGATTGTTAACTGTGTCCTGGTTACATGTATTTAAACTGTTGCAATTATCTACTGGTAGTCTATCCACAGACCCTCTACCACTGTATGTTTTCTTGAGTTTGTTGAGATTGCAAGCAAAATATTAACCTTGAGGGATATGGACAAGCCAAAACACAATGGGGTAGGCCTGAGGAAAGACTTCATAGTCGCTCTTGCACAATCAAAGGAAAATAACTCACAGAAAAACCAATTGTAGACCTATGGATAGACTACAATTGCTAGTCTTGGTCAACAAAACAATCTTTTCATTCAAAGTACAATATTTGAATGTTTGATTGACTAGTTTCAGTCTGAACTTTGTTTATGAATATTTACTGATATTTATTGTGGAATCTTGATCAGCCTTTTGTTCAGACCCAGAAACATTTTAAACTGCTAATTACAACATAAGCACAGGCAGCCCAAGCTCAAACTGCCAGTCAACAGACATGATACACTGTAGTAATAACATCAGAGTTTGTATGGGGGTATGGTAATTATCTATGATTTGTTTAGGGAACCAGGAATACTAAAAAAAATTTGAACCAAAAATGCGTGAGGTACGGTGTGTTACTTGCTGTGATATTTGTCTACTATGCTGATTTTAGGTGATTTTAGCCAGTTAATGCCTCTTAGCTTAGTATAGTCCTTTCAGGGGGGATTATTCAATTATTCCCTGTCTGAATTTCTACTGTTTTATGTTGCGATTTTGAAAGTCGATATTTCACAGATGGAATTTCAACACAATTCTTGTTGTTTATTGACAATTTGCCACTACTTTTGATTCTCAGTATTTATGAAATAACTTAATAGGGTCTTGAAATGAATTGATTGCTGATTCTATGTAACAGTTGTACCATTAATGATTTAATAATTCTTTGGATTTGGATAGTTGAGCTTGGCATCTATTCACTACCTGAGAAGTCATTACCAAGAAGCTATTGACATCTACAAGAGGATTCTTCTTGACAACAGGTACAGTGTACATGTAGTATTTATTTAGTATCAATAGTGTGTGAGTTATAAACTGTATGTGGTTTAAAAAAGAATAGTAAAATAAAATATTAAGAAAGTATTAAATTAATGTTAGACAAGTATACATACATGACATTTTGGCATCATCTTGTCACCAATTTATCAAATGCAAATTTTAATATCTTACACAGACCAAAAAAAATAACCTTATTTACACAAGCTGACTCCATTTGTGCAAAACTGTTAATTTATCACCTTGAGGTTATATTAAGCGATCAAGTCTTCTGGTGGTGAATTTGTTGAAAAACTACAGTAACTATTACAATGAACTAGTTGTATTACATCAAAGTCCACTGTCATTCACTGTTTTGTTGTGACCATTGTCATTGTCATTAGGGATTACCTGGCTTTAAATGTGTATGTTGCACTGTGCTACTACAAGCTGGACTATTATGATGTCTCCCAGGCAAGTATTTAATTTAATTTTTTTGTTCTTCTCTGAGTCAAATCTTGTACCAATAAATATAACTCAAGGTGGTGCAGGTATTTTTGGATTGTGATAGCACAAAGGTGTGTAAATCAAATTGCAGTGAAAACGAGATGTGGTCAGTTTTATTTTTCATTGGAAAAAAAAAAAGAATTTTTACCTACAATAACAATATATGATTTACTTTTATTACCAATACATGCACAAGTAATGTCATGTGATTTTGTAATGCAAATTTTTATTTGATATTTTCATACAGGAAGTCTTAGCAGTTTATCTGCAACATTATCCTGACAGGTAACTGTTTAACTTAGTAATAGTTGTGGTGTTGAACTTTAATTTGAGTTGAGTTTCAAAAGAGTTAAGATACAGTATTGGTATTTCATATTAATAGTGATGGTGAGTTTCACATGTTATGATAATAACAAAAAAACATGATTGAAATGCCTCTTGATTTCCTTGTTTTCAATTTTTTTATAAGTTTTAATTACATACAGCTATTTTGACTGAACTGTGTTTTCTTTTTATGATAGTGCAATTGCTGTAAACTTGAAAGCTTGCAACCACTTTAGACTGTATAATGGGAAAGCAGCTGAGGTGAGATTTGCCTCTGTCTGTCTGTCTGTTCTGTCTATTTGTCTGTCTGTCTCTCTGTCTGTCTGTCTGTCTGTCTGTCCTGTCTATTTGCTTGTCTGTCCAACCGTGTGTCTTGATATTATATTAGTTAGAAGCACTTTAACTTTTTGGCTTCTTTTGTTTCTTTCTCAGGCAGAGCTGAAGACACTACAGGAGACAGCAAGTCCTTCTTTCAGTTTTGCCAATGATCTCATCAAACACAATCTGGTGAGCAATGTCAAACACTTTTCTCTGTCGTGGGAAATGTCTTTAACTAATAAAATGTCATGATGTACACATACAGTATAATCAAAGTCTTTGAAGAGTGACCTTAACCAGTTTACCCAACTGTCTGGCCAACTGCATGTAATGGCTTTTGATTTACTTCTGCTTCATTGTGTAAACGAATGATATACAATGGCCACACATGTACATGTCATATGTATATGATTGATTTACGAATTATGTTGGATGACACGATGTGTCTTATTATTTAGTGACTGATTATGCCGTTTTCTGTTCCGTTAGGTGGTGTTTAGAGGAGGTGAGGGAGCCTTACAAGTTTTACCACCTCTGGTTGATGTTATTCCAGAAGCCCGCCTTAATCTGGTAAGTACTTGATACATAACGAGCTTTAAGGCGCGAAAAAATTTATGCAAATTAGTCTGACGGTAGATTGAATCTACCGTCAACCAATTAAGACCTGTAACATAAGAACGCAGTTCTCACATTCTCCTGACCAAGAATATAACTGATATAATTAGTTAATGGGATTTTCGGTAACACCTCATGCATTGATAAATTCCCACGAGCACACGCAGTNAGATCATCTCCCGAATCCTGTGGTGATTTTTTTCTTCCGATAAAGCTCGTTATGCTCCCAAGTGCATCATCTGACAACAAGTTTATTCAAATTATGCAAAAATTGTTGAGTTCAAATTATTAAAGACTGTTGATATTAGTAAATTAAATTGATTAAACCAGTTTTTGTTTCAATTTGCAGGTTATTTATTACTTGAGACAAGGTATGGAATCTGATATGATAAATTTTGCTCATGTCTGGTTAAATAATAGTAATATGATTCATAATGATAATAACAATGGACCTTTTTACCAATGTTGCACACTATCAATAATTATTTATAGCTTTCATATAACCAAAAAAAGCACCTCCATAGATCAATTTATCATGCCGAATTTAGAAAATATGTGAAGTTTCATAAAAATCTGTTGCAAACTCGTGAAAACATGTGACCCCAAACTTGCCAATTTTTACAAAGAAATGTATTGCGTTGCCCCCGGCATATATTCTTTGTAAAAATGAGCAAGTTTGGGGTCCCATATTTTCATGAGTTTGCAACAAATTCTCTTGAAACTTCACATAAATGTTTACTCAATTCAGCATGATAAATCAAGCGGTGAGGCTTTTTTTGTTTGAATTAAAAAATTGTTAAAGCATGACATTGGTAGAAAGGTCCATTATCTTCTTCCTCATGCAAAAAGTGTCAAATCTTGTTACCTGGTTTTCAAGAGTCATCTTGCTCATGAGCAAGGTCAAATAAATTATATTGGTGGTTTGAAGTAAATTAATGATTACGATTAACATTTTTTGTACAACCAGGGATTAGTTTGATTGTTAAAGAGCACTAAGCTGTTTACTCACAGGAGGGTCTTTTAAGACTATCTCTGCTTTTCTGAAGAAAGTTATAGAAGGCAGAACACACAGAACACTTATGTTTTTATTAAATCATGACTTATTGAATTTCTTGTTTTATCAGATGATGTTGTGGAAGCCTACAATCTTATCAAAGATCTGGAACCAACAACTCCTCAGGTAACCATTGATCATCATTTATGATCAAGCTTGAGTAGTGCTTTTCTTAGGAAGATAAATTAACTGTATACATTGGAAGTTCTACAAGAAGGGCTACCCCACAACTTTGGCCTCGCCTTTGATATGTTCCTCATTTTTCAGACAACAAAGGCCGTGTCTTCACTTGCCAACCCTTCTTGTCTCAAGTACCTCTGGATCTGGCATTGACTGATACTGGTTGTCATTATTTTAACTCTAAGGGTTTGTAGACAGTTGTCTTAGTAATACACGTTATTCCCTTACATTGCAGGAATACATTCTTAAGGGTGTGGTCAATGCAGCTTTGGGACAGGAACAGGGCTCTGTAAGTTGCCTCATGCAAGTCTTGTTGAACTGATTTTATTGCGTTTTGTGTGATGCATCTGGATTGATTGATTAGACTGCTTGACGTATGCTTAGTTCCTTCCTTTCAAACTTCCAAGGTTTCTGTGCAGTCACATTTCAGAAATAGAAAACGTATACTGGGTACTTACCATTTACATGGGAAAACTGGAAATTCAAATGGTTCACGCCATTCCGTTTGGGAAGCTTCAGAAAATATGGGCTGTGATTTGAGGTGATGCTATTTTTCTACTCTTTTAAGTCTCTCTAGCTGATGTGGATACAGTTTATAGCGATTCCCTCTCCCACAACTTTGCATTCAACTGTTTAATGTTTTTGCCTGAAATTTCCAACCAGATGGTTTCTGTAAATGGTAAGCACCCACTGTCTTTCTATCGAGTTGGGGAAACACTCGCCTGTTGGCTCTCGTTATCCCAAACTTTCACAAGTGTTTCCATTAAACAATTACATTATGAGCTTGAGATTTCTATCGCATGATAGTTGACGATCATGCATTGAAATCTCAAGCTTATAATCGATTTGTTTAAGGTGGCTCCCTAGAGTATTTAAGAACACCCTCCCCATAGAGCACGAGTTAGAAGAGGAAACTTAGTTAATTTCTCTTAAAGTTTTCTCTGTAGAGATTTACCAGTATGCATACTGTTAAAATAAGGCTTATTTTTTTGGTTGTCAGTTTTTGGATTAAGGCTGTTACCATGGCAACATCTCATCTAATGACAGGCAGATATGTTCCTCATTTTGGCCTAAACTCCTTAATATTTATCGCTGAAATTTTTTCATACTTTGCCACATCATGGAAATGATATTGCCTGATATTTTAAATTGGTAAAAAGTCAAGGTTGTTCAGACGGTTTTTCCAATAATTTTATCCTGTAATTTGTCATTCTTCTAAATCAGCTGTCTAAATATGTTAGATTAGCTCTGACAGATTTTAACAATAATAGGGTATTTTATAGGCATTGTATGTAGTTACAACTGAGCCAAATTTAAAAATAATTCACCGAAGGAAACGCGAGAAAATTCACTGTCAGTTTTGCTTTTTGTGCCCATGTTGACGTCATAAAAACCGAAAAACACTGACGTTTTCCTTGAGCGTGCGCAGATAAACTTGAGCTTTCGTCTCATGCGCGCGTCAATCATAAAACTATCGGGAGCCACCTTGATAGAAACACGATTTTAAACCAATCAGCGCGCGTATTTTCGTTGGGCTATTTTCTAATACATATTGGATAAATTTATTGATTGTGACGAAGTTTACTACATGGCCATCATCCTAGAAATACCACAAGTGATGATGACACTCTGAGCCATTCTCATGAAGTATTCAGTGCTGAAAGTAATTCCACCAGCATGCAGCTGTATAATCACAAACCTTATTTTGTTTTATTGTTTTAGAGAGAACACTTAAAGATCGCTCAACAGTACTTCCAGCTGGTGGGAGGATCAGCCAGCGAGTGTGGTTAGTTTTTTTGTAGCCCGTTTTTGCTTTTTGTTAGTTTCTAGCAATTGCCCTTCTGCAGGATGTTTTCCTTGCTGCGATGAGCAGTTGCCTAGTGGATTATAGATTTTGCTATGTCAAGTAAGATTTTCTTAATTTTGGCATGTTGATTAGCTATAGACTAATAGTGTACTCGTTTTCTACAGTAAGTGTGGTCAAAAAAAAGGTCAAGGCTTCATACGAGCCAAGTGGCCCATCAGGCCGGCACTCTGCAGTATGAAGTGACTAGGAATATTTCTACTCATCCCTGGGTGGGATGCTAGCCCATGTTCGCCAGTACCATGGGTGGAGAAAGGCACTGTGAGAGTTCAGTGTCTTGCCCGAGAACACAACACAATGCCACCGGCCATGACTTGAACCCGGACCGCTCGATCCGGAGACGAGCGCACTAACTATGAGGCCATCGCGCCTCCTTAAGTTTTGAGTGATTGTCGATAATTGCGTGCTGGTATATTTCATCATAGATACCATCCCAGGAAGACAGTGCATGGCATCTTGTTTTTTTCTCTTGAAACAATTTGAAGATGTTCTTATTTACCTTAACTCCATAAAGGTAAGAGTCATAGGAGGCCATTGGTTCAAGTGAGGACTGTGTCTTCTTTTTTAAGTCTCTCTTTTTTCCTCCCAAATGGTAGCGGCCGGGCGCTTAATTCTCGAGCAAGGAGTCGCAAAGTCACAAGAGTCGCTTGGGCGAGAGTTGCGAGAGTTATGTGGGCGAGAGTCGCGCGAGTCGCGTGGTAAGGGAATCACCACCGACATCCACGCGATTCTCGCGGATCGCAGTTACTCCTTGTGATCGTTATGTTAAGGCGCCGTCGGTGGAGAATGTGTGTTATTTTGGACTCAAATTATTTCTATAACGTTACAGTTCGTTTTACAAAACTGTTGTTTAAAGTTTTCCGAAGCTCGTTTACTTCACAAAATTCCCATGGTGATACAGATGCTCCCAGACTAACGAAGTTCCTAACGAATTCGAAGTTCGCGTTTCAAACTTCGGAAATTTCAACGAACTTTCGAAACTGTTTGTCAAAACTTTGCAAAGTTATGTGAAACACACTGTAAGAGAACGGTCGACGGAACAGCTTGGAACGTTCTGTTCTTCATTTTGTTGGAGTGGTTTTCATCTGAGTGTCGAAAAGTAATTCGTTTTACATCACTACGTAACACGATTGGCGTAAAAAAAACTCGCGCCCGCTTTCTCGTCCAATCAGGAGTCAAGCCAAAACCAATCGCAACTCGTTCGCACACGTTTCCCCGCGCTTTGTGTAAGCTACATGTAATTCGAGTTTTGGTTGGTTCACTGGATTTTCTGCGTCCTCTGTGATAGGCTAGTGATTACTTTGGTTTTGGTATAGACAATGCATTTTAGTCTGTGATCTATGGTTTCGCGACTAGAATGAGGCCTCGTCCACAGTACGCCCGAAGAATTTGAAAACGCAACATCCACCGGTCATTTTGGATTTGTGTTTGAGGAAAACTTGGCCATGGAAGTCGTGACTTCATCGTTTTCGAAAAGCATCGTTTTCAAAACGTTTTCCGTCCACACGAAAACGAAAAGCTGGCATTTCCAAATTCCTCCAGTTTGAAGAGCGTTTTTGAAAAGCTCCGTTTCCGTGACGGATTAGTGTGGACGGTAGGCCTAACCGGAGAAATAAAGCTGCGTTTTCAAATTTCTCCGGCCTAGTGTGCACGCTGCCCGAGTGTTCCGTTTGTGAACATATCACATGGCCCGCGTTTCTGACTACGTTACTTCAACCTTTTGCGAGCGATAGTTTTAAAATGTCTCTGTTGTATTTTTGTATGGCAGAGTTACTTTTACAATGACGATACGTTTAATTTCAACTACGCTCAAGCCAAGGCGGCAGTTGGAAATTACAAAGAAGCTGAGGAGGTTGGTTATCATTTCAGTATGTTTACATTAATTAAATAATTCATTTTTTACTCCAACCTGGAATACATTTTGCCCCGAAAATCCGTGGCAAAAGTTAAGGTAATCTATTCTTGAAATAAGTTGTACTATAGCAAGAGAAAGTCGGTCTCTATCTTGACTGTCACAGCCCTCTATTTCCTCGTATTTTTATTCGATCGTTGAACGCGCGGGTAGGATCGCGAGAGAACTGGACGCCGGCGCAAAACGGGAGACTTGACAGGGTAGGGGGTAAGCGCTCGCTTTTTCCTTCGCGTGCGTTGAAAAATAGAGAGGCCGTGCGCATGAACAGTCTGGTCTCTCAGCAGCTATTTGTTTCCCTGTTTTTGTTTTTCCTTAGATTTTTCTGCTGATTCAGTCGGAGAAAATTAAGAATGACTACACGTACCTAAGCTGGCTGGCGCGATGCTGTAAGTGATATAAAGTGATATAACAACAGAGTGGTTCGGTATTGGAGTCAGTAGTATTTTTAAATACAAACACGGGAGGCCGACTCGATTACCAGCCGCTGTTCGGGAACGGTGGTCGCGCTCCTTCCCCGAAGGCGAGAAACGAAGACCGGACCCAGCGGCGGAAATCGAGCCTACCCGTGAGACCGAAATGAAACTACCTGGACTAGGTCAACGAAAATCGAGGATTGAACTTAGATTATTCCATCTTAACTCTTCCATCTTTTTCTGTAACTGTTCTAATCTGAATTAATGTCTGAGTTTTCTCTTTAGAAAGGGATCCTAACCGCTACCATCCTTTAAAAGGGCGTTTAGTTTACACATGTTTGATCAACTTCTATTATGTAGTGTTATTTGTCCGCGATCACTTATTGCCCTGAATTCTGGTGAATTTTTCAGACATCATGAACCATAAAGCCCGGCCGGCATGGGAACTGTACCTCAAGATGGAGACATCCGGCGAATCTTTCAGTTTGCTGCAGCTTATTGCAAACGACTGTTATAAGGTCAGTTGTAAGATTCGATAAATGACAGGTGCCAATTAGAAGTAAGCGTGACGATGATTAATATTCTCCAATTTATTTTCTACGAAAATCCCGGTTGAGGATGGAAATACTTATCGCGTTCTACGTAGCGGCTCCCTTTGAAGCGGTGCACAAGAACGAGAAGCGGGTGCGTTTGACCAGATGGTCAAACATCGAGATCTCAAATCTCGCATGGCTTCGCTCAAAAATTGCAGTGAGAGCAAACGTTAACTTGGATAAACAGAGGGAGCTTTTTTTCTTGCTACTATACAACTATGGGTTAAAGAGTTTTTTTTTTCAATTTAGTAAATCTCATGCGTGTAGTACGTTGTATCAAACGTAACCTGATGTCCTTTTTCCGCAGATGGGTCAGTTTTACTATGCTGCTAAAGCCTTTGATGTGTTGGAGAGACTGGACCCTAACCCGGAGTACTGGGAAGGAAAGAGAGGGGCCTGCGTCGGAATCTTTCAGCAAATCATCGCTGGACACGAGCCAAGGTTGGACTTGTCGCATCACCGCACTCATGCCCCCGGGGCTCTCCCATAAATTTCGGATAGGTGTAGGCCGCGAAGGGTCTTAAACCCGGACCCTGTTTGAGGATCGAGAACCGCAAATACCATACCCTATCCCCCGGCAAACCTATATTGTATGAGGCAGTCCAAAGGAAGCGTGTTCGACAATAAGAACAAGAAAATAGTAACCTTGCGCTGTTTAAATGAAACACTTTCAAAACTTTCGCGTTTGTGACGTACTGATTATCAGAATCAAAACGTTGACATTTCCCGCGTACTTCTTACCGTCACCCC